TTTTTTAGCATCAGAGCATGAGTAGAAGACGTGACTTCACACACAGTCACACAGACTAAATACACACACACCCAAAATTAAAGTCTCAGCATTGCACACACATGAACATGGTGTGCCAAACACAACAAAAGCCTTAATGATTGGTGTGGTGAGTTGTTGGAAAAGTGAAGAGCGTGGCTGTCACGGTTTTTGGCACCGTCTCCCGCTGTGTCAACAAGTGTGACAGGTACTAGTTCTTCTCATTTAAGGTCTGCTGTGTCTGCTCTCAAACAACCTGCTCATTTTCCTGAAATGGCTTTAAATGTACACTCAAGAGATTCTCCGGGACAAAACTTTCAGGAAGAGTTAGGCTTTCATCAATGAGTCCTGAAGTGTATTCGATGATATTAGTGATGCCTCACAAACAGCTCAATTCTTTCTATAGGAGAGAAAAGGCAACCCCAAATGTGGTTTGACGTCGCAGCTGCAGACTGATAGTTTTGATGTGCTCTCGCCATTGACTTTCACAGCAGAGTGTCATGCGATAGTGTGAGAAGGTAAATGGTGGGTGATGAGAGAGGAGCTGCCGACCTAACACAGAAAACTAAGACCCTGTTGTGTCATCAGAGAGAGGCAAAAGCCAGTGGAAATAAATCATTATGACTTTGATAGAAGCTGTGGAGTAACCAGAATTTGTGATGGTGAGAAATAGTGTGTTACAGGTACTGACTTGCTGACCATGATGGCAGGCACACATCTGAAAGCTGTGTGTGTGTGTGTATGTTTGCGTGCATTTACCTCCTCAGATATCTGTCCTGTCTGTGACTTGTCTCTCTCCAGCTCTCTCCTCAGTGATGTGTTCTGCCTCTCGAGCTGCAGCACCCTGCGGGCCAGGTGAACGCTGCCCGACAGCCACATAAACACAAACACAGTTTTGGAAATTCCAAAACATGACAACACCAACAAGTTTACACTAGTGTGTACTTCGTGCATGTTGTTTCCCCTACACTTGACTGAACTCACTGAAACCAACAGTTGGCATCAATTTAAGTTTCTGGGCGTGCATGCAAAGATTGTGTAAAGAACTACAATCAAGTAATTATGTTCCTGTTTTGAGAAAAAAAAGTACTTTAAAGCCACTGTGTAAAGGATTTTGAAATGTTTTCACTTTGAGGACTTCTAGTGGAAGTATTAAAGAAGAAGAGGTGTTTGACAGTGATGCACTTTGCTTTTATAAAGGTACCCTGTAGAGTTTTGTACAGAGACACACAATAACCACAAAACAAGCTGAATACACACAACGCTGCACATAATTTCATCCAACTGCAGAGGCGGTAATGCATTTCTACACCTAATAAAGTTACACTGTAAAAAGGTACAAATTCACTAATAAAAGAAAACGATAATGGCAGACTCCGCCACCACCAATAAAAACTACTATATAGTCAGCTAAGTTATCATAATAAATAACTATTATGTAAATATATTGGATGCCTATTGCAGAAACAATGGCGGCCAAAATAGTATCAAAATAGGGATGTGATTTCATGAAAATCTGAAGAATCATAACTTTAACAATGCATGTTTCAAAACCTTCAAAAAGGGCGTTACAAATGTTTATTAGGTAGAACCTTCATTCATAATGTTTGTTATGCCTTATAGATACACAGAATGCATTTTTAATGAGAAATGTTGAATGTAAATAATATATATTTATACGAATACTGTATACCAACATAGTAGTTTAGCCCACACTATATTAGCATGCTGGTTTCTTACACTATATTTAAGAAGAAGGACACACAGTAGCAGTGTCAGCAAATTCCACTTTTTCTTTAGTGACATCTCTCACAATGTGCACTGTCACTGAGATGTGAAGTGTAACATTCACTGTACCTTTGTTTTAGTCTTCTTTTAGCCGTTGTGGGGACATTGGCTCCGTAGCCGTATGAGAACAGAACTCTCTCTGCCTCCTCTTCATTCTCAACTGGCAACAGAAAGAAACACAAACACCGTCTATACCTTTCCAGGACCATTATAGCATAGCAATCTATAGTTGTAGGATGTTGTATAACTGCCAGATAAGCATGCAGTAAAAAACTTTTTTTCTACAAAACACCTTTCTATTGTCTTAAACTAGCGATTACAGATTTTTACGTAATTGTTTCCTACATCTTCACTCTGATGCCAGACTAAGACATCTGAAGGAATCAGTGCTTGTTTGTTTGTTCTCTTTCCGACTTCAAAGTAAAGTGAGCAATGAAATGGGTACTACAGAGCCAGTGCTATGTTTGTACTTTCGGCAGCCTGCATGGTGACTTGGTCCAACTCTTGCTCGAGCTTTTCATACGTCTCCAGCCGAGACGCTTGCTCGGCATTCTGAGCTTGCAGCTCCGCCGACCGCTTCTCTGATGATGTCTGCAGCCTGTAAAACTCCTGGGTCAGGAGCTGAGGCAGAGGAGGGGAGGAGAGAGAGAAAGATAGAAGCATGAGATGAGCAGGGGGAGATGAAGAGCAAATAAGGTAACTTTCAGCATTGTTTTCTCTAATTTCTATTGAAACACAATTATCTACCTGAATAATATTGTTAATGTAAATATTACATTCTGTCAGTGTAATTAAAATAACAGATAATGGATTCATTTCTTCAGACTGGTGGTGTATTTCTTCCTTTTATTCAATATATATTTTTATATTAAATATTTTATTTTTGCAGTAATTAGCAGAAAATGAAAACAAAAGCATATTTTTGTTTTCATTTCTAATTATTTTTAAAAAACTATTTTTGCACATGTTGCAAGCTTCAAATTGTATTTTAAAACAAAGGAAAGAAACATTGTTGAAAACAATATTGAAGCACTATTTATCAGCTAAAATTAAAATAAAATGTTCACATGTTATGTATTGGCAATTTGTATGATTAAATATGTATTTCTGGTTTAAATTTAAGCTAAAGAAATGAATCCCAAACTAAATTGTTAGTCTTTCAGAGCTGTTAAGAAAATTATAGAACACATTATTGTTAGTCTGCTTTGCTTTTTACCATTCACCTTCTTTCATTTTCCAAACATTTACTGTAACATAATTTATAAAGCATTTAGGGATGCCACCAAAAAATGAATAATTCTTGGCCGAAACCCGAAAACCGAAAATGAGGAAACCAGGCCAAAAACCGAAAACCGAAAGAAATTATTATGGCCAATTATTAGGTACCATTGCATTTATGGCTATGACTGTGTACTAACCTCACACTAAAATCAAGGCATTGCAATTCAAAGATAAAATCAATTACCAAAAGTATGAAAATATTTATTTAGCACTGACATTACAACAATGCACCATATAGAAATAAACTAACTTCAACAAAGTGCATTCAGAAAAAAGACTGCAACTGCTGGAAGATATAACAATATTTTCCCTCCTGTAGGTCTACAACATAACAGTGTATCAAAACAAAGATTGCCATAGCCCATATGTTAACCGTAGGCCTTTAACAACAACAAATGCACCAAGAATTGCAGATGTGCAAAGTGGAAAACAAATATTTAAACACTAGACACAAGCCCATTCTACTTCTTCAGGTAAAGTGCACCATCACTGGAAAACTTTCTTGCCTTTTTCAAAAACGTCCGCCCACACGCACGAACGTGGGCGTGCGTCGGATTGATTTTCTTTTCTGTGCCAAATTCTTCTCATATTCAGAATGGCAGTCAGGATGTTTGGATTTCAGGTGATAAATTAAACCCGACGTGGAGAAGCTCTTTACAGATGCACCCCCTCTTGAAATTTCAGCATGTTGTTATCCAGACAAGCGTGTGCTGGTTTTTGTTTGCGTCATCACAACTTTCTGTTTTGGCCGTGTTGTTAAAATGTGCTAAAAGTATTTTTCGGTGTAATTTTCGGTGGCCGAATATTCGGTGCATCCTTAATTTTTTTTGCAATATCACTCCACAACCACAGAAATCTGAATGCGATATCAACTATTTACCTCATTCGCTGTCTTCTAGTCTTAGCACTGGGGGTCAACCTGGCTATACAAATACAGTTCAACAATATTCAACAACTCCATACAGATGCAGGCGTTTCCTGTCTTTAGGTGAATGTTTGTAACCTGAGGGAGTCGGCCGACTGATCCGTCCTCCCTCCGACTGATCTATCCGGAGTTATTCTGCTGTCAGGGAGGAATGCTGCGGCCGGCCTCGACCTGCACGCTACTGCTGCTGCAGGAAAACACACACACTAACACACACACACACACACCACCACCACCAGCTCTTACTGCCAACCTGTTTTTACTGGCCGTTTGAAGAGTCTTGGTCCTGAGAAGGTTACTATGGAGGACGGTTTGGAGGAGCCTGGACAGTGGAATCCTTGAAAATATGGCTAAAATATAGAAAAATTATGCAAGGTTGTAGTTCTATGAATAAATATACCTTTATATCACCTTTAAAGAGTAATATTGTTGCCAATTTGGAGGGCAACATAAGGCAAACGTCCTTAAAAGTAGTAAAGTATTACCAATAAATCTGCAAATTATTTCCTGATTAATCGTTTTGGTCTACAAAATGTCAAGTCAAAAGTGTAAAATGGACCACGGATTTCCCCAGAGCCTGGGGTTGATGTCTTTAATTCCAAACCTGTTGGTCCAACAGATACGAATAGGTACAGATTTTATAATCAAAGACGGACGAAGAAAACCAGCAAATATTCAGATTTGAGGAGCTGGAACTAGAGCATTTGTATCTAAAAAATGACTTAAACAATTATTATTACCCATTAGTTTTCTGTTGATTGACTAATCGATTAATTGACTACCCATTCCATCTCTAAAGGAATCTTACAAGAAAAATATTTTTTCTGGCATTTATGAAGCAAAAGGCCATAACATTTGCTAATAAGAGCTAAATAAATGCTGAGAAAACTTATTTTTTCCACATTTAAAACAGACATTGAGGTATCTGTTTTCATTTCCATGATTAAAAATATATTCCTATCAATCAACAGGGAAAAAAAACTATTTCTGAAACAGGAAAAACCGACCGATGACACGCTACCACCGGCCGATATGAAGAACAATCTGACGACACATAATTCCCAGCTACTAATCAAGGCACCGGAGGTCATTTATTGTTCTGTTGTTTCCCATCGTTGCCTTCACACACTGACGAACTAAAAGGAAAAGGCAACCAGCAGAGACATTTCTAGTCCCACAAACACTTTTATCTGCTCAAAATAACAGAACAAAAACATCTGAAGTCAGCAGCAGAGCTCAGGGGAGAGTCTACAGAAAGGAAACTGTTTATGGACGCCGTCTCTAACAGTCATCTGTCATCATCTGATAAATTTGCCTATCAAAAAAATAAATCTCCCTTTTAAACTCCCCTCTGGGGTAAATATAGCGCGTGATGTGGCTGACAGCTCCAAACATAGACTGAACTGTTAAATTGTTTTAAGAGTGCGAGCGGCTGAAGCGGAAAAAACTGCGACTCGGACAGAACCCGGGAAGCTGGAAGAGATGAAACATCGCGCGGGGAATGATATTCTTGCCGTCTGAGTCAGCTCGCCGTGGCACTCCAGAGGAGAATGTGGCAGCCAGAGGTGTCGCACAAAGCTGTCAAGTCCCGCAGCAGCCGGAGCAGTAAACACACACACACACACACACACACACACACACTTACTTCTCGGGGCTCGCCAACCTCCCATCGGGCCACAGTAATTGGCCTGAATAACGAGCCTAAACAGGTCTCACTATTCGGAGAAAACGCAGAAGGGACAATTAGAAGAAAACACACCTTTAACAAGCCTCACAGAGCCCAGTTCCTCTGCTTGCATTCACTCTGCAGTACATTCACTACCTACTTCCTCTTTGGACAAGCGGCTCAAAGACAGCGGGCCACGGTCACAGCTTCTAACTGAGAGGAAGTAACTCGGGGGGAAAATGAACAGCAATCGAGGTAATTTGTGAACGACATGCAGGCTCACGGAGCCAGACCGCGTCCGCTCGGTATTCTGGGAGTCTGGCATATGAATAACAGTGCTCTTCTCACGAAAGCGGAGCAGAAACAGGGCTGTGACCCATTTCAGGTCCAAACCCAGCTGAAGTAATGCCGCATCAAGAACACGTCACCCCGCCCCTCGCTAATGCCGTGTGAAAGCACGCAGCGTGGGTTCAACCCTACTAGTTATATTACTTCTCCAAACGTGGTTATTGTGTCCTTTCTCCCCGAAATTCAGACTAAAAATCCTGTTTTGTTTGTTAAAAATATATTAGTATTAATATTTTCCAGCTGCTGAATGTTAGTTTTTCCATCTTTCAGGCTCCATGATTACAAGAATGAATCCAAGGATGTCATTAGCTTGTTGGATTTCAAATTAGTAGGGGGTTCCCACTCTTTTCTACATTTTCCAGGACATTTTCTTGACAATACAGGACACCACTTACTTACAAACGGTCTCATAAGCTGCAGTTTCTGCCAAACTGACTACATTAAATCGGCCCCAACAGTTCAAACAAAGTAGGGTTGATTTTATTTTACAGAAAACTCCTCTTCTAGAAAGTTAAAGCGTTCATTGCACGTACAATTACCATCACTTTATCAACCACAGCAACAAGGAATTTGATGCTGTGTGCGTGTGGATATGAGAACTTTCCTCGCAACCCTGGAAATGTGTCAAACAGTTTAACACCAACAGTCAAGTTTTAAATAAAATGCGCACAAAGGTTTGCATCGGTGATCTGAGATATTATTTCCAGGATATTTGGTCATTTTAAATCAATTTCCAAGTGTTTCCATGACTGGAAAACTACTCCAACTACTACATTTCCAGGTTTTCCAGGATGCATGGGAACCCTGCAACAAAGGTTAATGTTATTACTGTAATATTATTACTAGTAGTAGTGAGTTACTGCCTGGCACACACACCATAATGAACAGAGGGGAGCGTGCCTATGTTCCCACAGCCCTATGTTCCCAAATTTCTAAGATTTTTCCCAGAATTAGGCCCTATGTTCCCAAATTTCTAATATTTTTTTCCAGAATTAGGCCCTATGTTCCCACATTTATAAGATTTGTTTCAAAATTAGGCCCTATGTTCCCACATTTATAAGATTTTTTTTTCCAGAATTAGGCCCTATGTTCCCAAATTTCTTTTTTCATACATTTGTATCAGATTTTACCCCCCTTTCTCCCAATTTGGTAGCCAATTACACCCAACCTATTCCCTAACCCAATGTAGGAAACACAAGACCTAATTTTGAAAATGTCCTAGAAATGTGGAAACATAGAGCTGAGGGAACATAGAGCTGAGGGAACATAGACCTGAGGGAACATAGAGCTGAGGGAACATAGAGCTGACCCTGAACAGAGAAGTTGTGCAAGTGCAGTTTCCACTAAATTACTGAGCAACAGTCTCAGCACTCATAAGCATTCAAACACATGATCCAGCATCAACCAGTGGCTTTCTGTCTCATTCATTGTGCACACAGACAGAGGACAAGGGCTTCATACAGCTGCTGCACTTGACACTCCTTTGATATATTACATGTGTAGTTTCTATACTGGCTGTTTGCTAAACTGACAATAACCTGAGGGACACAAACCCAGGAGCAACCAGACAGCTTAACTTTACCAAGAAACAAACCACCAGTGAGCAGAATGTCAATCAGTTAGCCGCCATTAGCCTGAGTTGCTAAAAAAAAAAAAATGCCTCTGGACAAGTTGACAAACTTTTGGCGACAAAGCTTAAAAAAAAAAAAAAGGGGGGGTAACAGTGTCTGGTCAAACAAGTTAGGGCCACCCCCAGACAGTCAGGACTCACTGTGCACAGTGTAAATTAGCTTTATTGCCCCCCCTCCTCCTCCCTTGTTTGCTAAAGGTAGCCAGAGCTAGCTGTCCGATAATGGACGCAGGAGCGTTAAAGTTTGGAGCAAGCTTCCCGGAGTCTAAAGGAGGAGTCGCTAGTTCCTCCAGCTAGCCGCGCTCCCTCAGCTGGTTGACGCCGAGAGTTCGGCTCCTTTCGCCGGGGAGAGGAGGGGGGACGAACCGGGGACTTACTCACCGGAGGGTCGGTCCGATACAGTTGGTGTCCGTGCTCTCGATCTCCCGCAGGATGCGTTCGTGTTCGGCGGCTGTCTCCACACTCGCCATCCTGCATGTTGCTCCGGACGGTTCCGAGCCGAGCTGAGCCGAGCCGAGCTGAGCTGAGCCGAGCGCGACTGGCCGGGCTCCGTGTGCGTCACCGGAGGGTTGGTTCGATGTTTTTGTCGAAGCAGCCCGAGTGAGCGGAGTTTAACTTTTTTTTTTCTTTTTTCTTTATTTTTTTTTTTTTATTATTATTAATAACAAATAAGTTACAATGTACGGAAGCGTATTGCATTCACTTGAAAAAAAATTTTGGTTTTTGTTTTTCTGTTTTTCGAAGTAATTT